ATGATGGGATAGTTTATTTTGCTTTAGGAAAGTTGATTTCAGCCCATTTTCTCTTGCCTGTTATCAAAACAAAAAAATCAAAACAAAAAAGTGAATTCCTGCATTCATTTTTATTCCCCTGCTTGTGGGAGTAAATTTTATAATTTGTTCTATGTGCATTTTCAAGCCCCAAGCATGGAATAACTATTCAGTTGTTTAAATCATTGAATACCATGGCAGTGATACCTGTGTCTTGTTCATTCTTCTATCTCCAGTGCAGAGCCCAAAATTAGGCATAGAGTAAGCTCTCAGCATATATTTATTACATGTGAAAGGGTTCAAAATATTCTACTTTGGCATATTGATTATTTTGAGCTAAAGGCAATTTCCAGCTGATGCAGGAAAAAGTCTTTACCTCCCCATCATATTTCTAAAATAAAATATAAATTTTCTCTTTTGTAAAAGAAATTTACATTTATAAAGGAAATTTCCATTCATAAAGGTATCTGTACTAGGAAGAGAACTGCTGCCAGACAACATTTATCACCTAAGAGGCTAACTGAATAATAAGACAACCTTTATTTACCACACATTTTCTCCCCTCACCTTCCAGTAATTTGCCTCCTCCTTCCCTCACCAGAAGCCTCTAAACCCCTATTCCTTTCTGCAGTTCAGGATGGCATATCAGTCTCAGTCATTTGGCCACTTCTTTGAGTCTCATTTTTGTGAAACATTCATGCATATGTGTAAAATTAAATTTTTTTCTCCTATTAATCTGTCTTATGTTGATTTAATTCTTAGACCAGCCACAGAACCTAAAAGGGTTCTGTGCATTGTTTCCCTTCCTACACATGCATGTGTATTATTTGAATGCATATTTCCTATGATGATTTTAAAGGTTCCTGGGGATATTAATGACTCCAAGGCAAGTTATATAACCTTACTGATAGCACCCACCTCATAGACTTGTTTATTATATAAGAACTCTCAATGGAAAAACTCAAACTCTGTTAAAATAATTTAACGAAGTTTATGCTGAGCCGAATGTGCGTGACTGTGACCCAGAACACAGTCTGGGTCTGTGAACATGGTCTCAAGAGGTCTTGAGAAAGTACGCCCAAGGCAGCTGGGTTACAGTTTGGTTTTATACATTCGTGGAGTCGGGAATTACAGGTAAAACCATAAATCAATACATGGAAGGTATACATTGGTTCAGCCTGAAAAAGCAAGATATCTCAAAGTAAGAGCTTACAAATTATAGGTGGGTTTTAAGGATTCTTTAGTTGGCAGTTGGTTGAAAGAGTTAAGCTTCGTCTAAAGACCTGGAGCCAACTGAAAGGAATGCTTGAGTTAAGATAAGGGGTCAGCTAGGATGCTTGAGCTAAAATAAGGGCGTCTTCTATCTGTCACGTGATGTTCTACTCGAATCAGTTTGGAAAGTAAAACACATTATACTGGGTTAATAAAAACCTGTTCAGTGAGATGTTATCCTTTGTAGGCATGACTTACCAGACCTCTTAGAAAGGAATTTTGGCAAGAGGAAAAAGGTCAAAGTTCAGTCCTCAGTACTAAATGAGTTAATACAATTTAAGTGCTTAGAACAGTGCCTGGCACAGAGTAAACACAATACATTAGCCTTTATTATTATCACCAAAAACAAAAACTTATTTCTCTTTAATCTTTGGAAGACCAAGGAAGTCATTAGGTAAAATACTTTCTGTAGCCAATAGGACATTACTTGGAAATGTTCAAGATATCTTTATAAAACTCTAAGTTTAGAATTGTTTTGAACCAGGCGGTGGAATGGAACCTAAAAGGCAAAGTATAGAAACCAAATTTCTGCCTAGTGAGCTAACACTTTAAGTATACCTTCCCTTTGCCCTTGTCCCAAGGTCAGCTCACAAAACAAGAACAAATATATAAGAAGTAGCATTTGTTCTATGCAAATTACTTGTTTTGTGGGAGAACAAGACCATTTGTGTGCTGACAGTATTTTTTGTTTAATAAAACACTAAAAGGTTAAAAAAAAAAAAGACGGAATTTACCAGAGCTATTCTTCTATGAATATAATCTGTTCTCCAAATTAGAAGAATGAGTCAATATAGCATACATTTTTAAGATATTTTCATTATCTTCTAATGTTCATGAATGTTGTTTCTTTTGTGGGGAGTTGGGAAGAGGGTAGGGAAAGGAAGTAAAAGCATGGGAGAAGAAAATGTTCCCACTTAATCTTCTAAGGATGAAGTCCTTCAATAGCCTTAGAAGTGGAGGAGGTTAAGTAACTTCTAAATCTTTTTAGGGGTAGGTGCTGTATTATAATATATGTTCACAGTTCTGTGGCATGGCTTTCGGTATAGTTAATGAAGCTGAGCATGTCTCAGCCAAGCATAATGCATATAATTAGGGGAAAATAGAAGAGTGAAATTAGTTGAAAGGTGACAGAAAGCAAAATGGAAAAGGTGACTATAGTGGAGAATTTGTCTAGTGCCACCAATAATTACTTTTCCTCAGGTGCCCATTTGCCTAGTTTTGGCTTAAATACTTTTAAAATAGTTGATTCTGAGCCCCTTCCCTCCTCACTAAAATATAAGTCTTTTGAGTTTCCCCAAGGCTAGAAAATAAAAGATATGGTATTATTGCCATGAATTAGTCTTTTAATGTCTAAGGATGATGGATTTTCCATTTTATTTTGATACCCATTTGTAGAAAATGCTATTGGGGCCCATCTTCTTTAAGTAAGGAGTCAGTCTTTGTGTTGTTGGCAGGTTAAATTCCTGGAAAAGACCTGACAAGTCTAGATGACATAAGTCAATTTTGGATTTTCTCATAGAAACAGTGTTCAATAGGAGTTTAAAATCTTGACCAAGGGTTTGATAACCAGCTTTTTATACAAATAACTCCAGACACCACATTTCATTAAGCAAATCAATTTTAAAAGATACTCTATTATTTCAAAACCTAAAATTTTTATGTAATTTTACTATAAGGTCACACTAAGACATGTGGAATTCTTTTTAAAAATTATTCTATCACACTTTTATTTTAAGGAACTAGAAGGCAATAAGAAGTCTGCATTTGTATGGAAATTCAAAAGGCTATTTGGGGAACATTTTCACAGGTTCCTTCAAGGAGACCAAGGCCCAGTCAGTGATGTCTCTGATAAAGAAATCATACTTTTCCTCATTGCTAATTCCACTATATGCAGCACAAGTTTTGGAGAATGAGTATTTTGTTAGATCAATGTGATATAAGGATTTATTTCCTTATAATTGCCTAATTAGTCTATCTGTGCTGTCAGCCATAATTGCAGGGGATACAAACATAAGTGTGCTAATTGCTGTAAGTTACATCAGTGTCCCTCCAAGACTTCCCTGTTTACCAGTAGAAGAGAATCTCTTCTATACCCACTTTCTGCTCATCTCAGCCAGTTTGGAAAACTCTTTCTATTCCTTAGATATATTGGTGTGGCTTTATTCTGGCCCTGTATTTAGGTAAATTTTATATACAAACATTTTCAAAAAAATATATCCAAAAAGTACCATGAGTAGATATTCCAAATTACTGAAACCATTCCTATGAGGAAGGCTGTTCTCTTCCTACACATAGAAAAATCCCCAAGTCCTTGATGCTTATAACTAGAATTCCATCACATGAACTAAATTCAGTGTCCACGTACACCGTATGTCAGAGGTCACGGCTGTATCATTAGATCTTGAGCTCTCAAAAAAGAGAGGACTTGGTCTATGGTTGTGGTTCCAACACTAGCAAATCTTGGAACATAATCTGAATCCGTACCCAGAGGAATCAGTAGCTTAGGAGTATTAATGTGACTATAACTGAGGTACCTGAAAGCTGTAAGTGTGGCTTCACAGCACCTATATATATTTCTTCACAGAAGGTACATTTATAGACAGATGTATATAAAACCAAAACAAAATAAGCCCAACTTCCCCAGATTCAAACCAGAAAAGAGCAAAATCATTGAAAAATGAAAGTTCAGTATTTGAGGCATAAACTTCCAAGACTTGTTTCTATTTGAGAGTGCTTTTGTCTTGCTAACCACAGAGAACAGTCGGAGTGGATCGTTTTATTTCGATTGCTTCTCCTGCACAGGCCCTGAGGGACAGACTTGATGATCTAATAAGTCTTTTCCATCTCTAATATCTATAATTTTGGCCATTCTGTGGCAGCTTCTTATTGCTTTAAATAAGCCATCTTAATTCAAAAAACATACATCTGGATTTGACCTGCCTAATATATGTAAAGAAGTGTGTGTCCCTTTAAAGCCTCACCAGGGAATCTCTGAGAGACTAAAGAAACTGAAAGGAAGCAGGAAAAAAGGAGGGGAAGGAGGAGACTGTGAGTCAGTTTTCTGTTTATTTTTATTTAAGTTTTTATTTTTCAATAGTGAAATTGCCCCTTAGGCTTCCATAAATCATCTGTTAAAATTTAATCTGAACCTTAGTACATTATTATATTAGCAACTTCTTTAAATTACTGCTTCTGTTTCTTGGAAGTTGTCCTACCATTAACTAGCATTTTATTTCACAGATTTTAGTCATCATCTCTAACCACTTCTTGGCCTCATATTCACTCTTCAACTTCTCAGACTTGAATGTCTGAAGAGGAAGTGGTATCTATGCATTCCTCCAATGTGAACCAGTGGTGGTCCTCAGGCCAGGTGTGTTGGGAGCATTATTGCAAATACATACTAACTGTCTTCTCCTCCACTAAATACATCACCAACACTATGAGTTAGCTTTCACAAAGGTATAAATATGTAGTCTCTACAGTTGTACTTAGGCTGTACATCTGGTTGAACTGCTGGAATAGCTATCCTTTATTTTTCCTGCCCAGTGATTTTAATTTAATACATAGGTCTTGTGAGCTGTTTTTGGTTAATATTTTCCCCTGCACATATTTAGTTACTTCCTGAGATTATTCTTCCAGACAGAAGAGAGGACTATGTCTGTGTGTCTTACTGTCCATCAGTCCATCCTTCTATTTCCCCAAGACTAATTCAGCCTTAATGCTGAATTACTTTTCTTATTCTTTCTCCAGGTCCTTACAATTATAGGCAGATCCAAATTAGTATTCATTTGGAGTGCTTATCTCTATAGCTGTGCTCTATGAAACAGTCATATGTTGCACCAAAAGTAGGATTTTGTACATTTATTCATTCAGCAAACATTTATTGACCACAAACTATAATATCTACGCACTTCATTAAATTAAATTAAACTGCTCCCGTGTGGTACTCAGTGCTTTAGCTCTGAATTGAGCCTCTAATGTCATATTTGAGTTGAAATTAACGTTACAAGGTTACATTTGTTTTAGTAGTTTAGTTATTTAGACTAAAATGCCTTTAAAAAGAAGGTCATCTCTCATTCACCTCTGTTTTCCTTCAAATGAATGTTGAGTGGGAAGAAATACTGCAAGTATAATTGGTTGGATGTTAGATGTTCTGGTTTCAAGTCCTGACTCTGTCACTGAGCTGTGAGATTTAGAAAAGTCATTAGCCTCCCTGAGCCACCATTTCTCATCTAAAATGGGCATAGCAATCCCACCTGCTTTCCAGAGTTATAGTGAGGTTCACATGAGATAATGCTTGTAGACATACCTTGTCAACCATAAACTTTGTGCAAATATGCACATAAAATTTATGGTGATTGATGCCAATTGAAACTAAATGATGAAGATAAATCAAGGAAAATATCTCTAGAGTTAGAAGTTTGGGCTTCTTTTGTATCTATCAGTCTCTAACAGAAAAGACTCACTTATAAGCTAGCTCACAAGAAACCAACCCCTTATAGAAAAGGCCAGTTGGCCAGTTGCAGAGATCCACACAACAAATATACACAGAATATTACTGTAATATTTTTCTTATAAGGGATAAAGACAATAGGGAATTAAAAGCGAGAATGGACTTGAAAGACAAATGAAGGTTTGGTTTCCCCCCATCTCCTCCAGATTTGTGGTTCTTCACCCTGGCTGAACATAGCAATTGATGCCTGGTCCCTTCCTCCAGAAGTAAATTGGCCTGGGGTGCAGTCTGGACCTTAGGATATTTAAAAGCTCCCCAAGTGGTTCAAATGTATAGCTAGCCAGTGCTGAGAAATGTCACTATGGTAGATCAAAAAGAGACCTCTAGAAGTCTAGTTATAAAGATAAAATTTATAGACACAAATAACTGTCAACACTAGATGAAAATATTTATTTAACGAATGGTAGAAAAAAAATAGTAGAACCCATAGGTCTCTAACAGTGTTCTGTAGTAGCTTAGGTAGACATCTCACCACTGGAAAATAAAACCATAAAAAGAAAAGTCAGAGGGAATTTAAAAATCTTTCCATAACTTTTAAAATTTTGATTTAAAAATTAGTTTTCAACCAGGCATGAGAACTATAGAGTGAGTCAGGTGGCAATAGGTATATGTAAATACGAGTGTAAGTATTATTTTCACAGCTCTCGTTCCTTGTAGTAAATATTTATGTAACGGCTAATCTGAGTTGTTATAACCAATCATGGCTGATTCCCTTTAATGTGCAGACACTTTGATTGTCACCAGACTTACAGTCTCAGGTCATTTACAGAAATGCAAAAAAAGAAAAACCTTTCTACATGAAAGAGACTGACATTTTATGCCTAGCAAAATAACTGTATCAACAATTGGAAAAGATATAGCAGTTAGCACAGTCCCAAAATAAAATACAAAAAACAAAATATTATCCTTTCATTGTGGTGCCCAGGGTCCACTTCCCAGAGCACTGTCCTAATTTATGCCCAGGGGATCAATCTGATCCTTAATATCAATTACCAAGAAGAAAGTCACATTTATGTGTTTTCCAGTTGAAACACAGAAAAAGCCAAGAAAGTCAAAGAAACTGTAAGGCTAAAAATTTCATTCTTGATGTGGAGAGTTGTTCTTTAATCTTAAAAAAAAAAAAAATTTCAATTGGTAAAAGACAAAAATGTTCACAAAGGGCCTCCCGTGTTCTCTTCTCCTCATTCCCCCTGCATTAGATATGTCTGCCCAGTCTTCCTTCCTTTTCTCAGCTCCTTCCCTTCTAAAAGCACTCTTGGTTTGTTTTGTAGTCTGTTCCATATTGAGCATATTTTACTGAGTTTTAATTTATATAACAATAAAATTCTTTTAGAGTTACAGTTTGATGTTTTCACAAATGTATATAGCTACATAACCACCATCACAATTAAGATACAGAACATTTCTGCTGCAAAAAGTGCGCTGATAATCCATTATTGTCAGTTCCTGTCCCCCTGCCACCCCCAGTCCTGTTAACCACTGATCTGATTTTTTTTTATATCATGTTGGTATCAGAATGATCTGATTTTTGACCCTATGATTTTCCCATTTCTAAAATGTCATATGTACCACTTTGAGTCTGACTTTTTTCATTTAGCATGATGCATTTGAAATTTAGCCATGTTGCTGCATGTATCAATAATTCATTCCTTTTTTATTACTGAAGAGTGTTCCATTCTGTGGGTACCACACTTTGTTTATCTGTGTAATGGATATTTGGGTTATTTACAGTTTTAGTTAATTATGAATAAAATTTACATAAAATATGTAAACATTCACCTATAAATCTTTATGTGAGCATATTTTCATTTCTCTTGAGTTTGTAATTTTGAAGTAGTCCAATTTATCAGTTTTTATTTATGTATAAGTGTTAGCTAAGAAATTTTGCTTATTGTAAGGTCACAAAGATTTTCTCTTATCTTCTAGAAGTTTTATAGTTTCTTATGTTTGGGTTTATGATTCTAGTTAATATCTGTATATGATATGAGGTAAGGATCAAGGTTCATTTTTTTTGCATATAGCTGTTCAGTTGTCCCACTATCATTTGTTGAGAAGACTATCCTTTCCCTATTGAATTATCTTGGCATCTTTGCTGAAAGTAAATATACTGTATACATGTAGGTCTCTTTTGGCTCTCTCATCTGTTCCAGTGATCTGCATCCCTATCTGTATGCCAATGCCACACTGACTTGATTACTTTCACTTTATTCTAAATTTGTAAATCAGGTAGTGTATATCCTTCCAACTTCATTCTTTTTTTAAGATTTCTTTGGCTGTTGAAGGTTCTTTGAGTTTTCATGTAGAATCAGCTTGTCACTATTCTACAGAAAAGCCTGGTGAGATTTAGGAAAGAAATGCACTGACTTTATAACTAAGTTTATGGAAAGTCTCTTCACAATGTTGTCTTCTGATCCATTAGTAGAGTGTATCTCTCCTTTTGATCTTTTAAATTTTTTCCCAACAATGTTTTATATAGTTTTCATTGTACAGGTCTTGCACATATTTTGTTAAGAGTTCCCCTAATTCTTTTTCATGCCTTTTTAATTTCTTAATTTCAATTTCATATTCATTACTAGAATACAGAAATAGCCTTTTTTTCTAAAGTTGCCCTTGTATCCCGCAATCCTGCAACCTTGCTAAAGTCATTAGTTCTAGTAAGTCTTTGGTGTTCTCTACATAGATACTTGTATTGTCTCTGAATAGAGGTGGCTTTATGTCAGCATTTTCCTGTATACCTTTTATTTCTGTTTTCTTGCCTTATTTCACTGAAATTAATGGTGAAATAGGAGCAGTAAAAGTGGATATCTTTGCTTTATCCCTAATCATATGGGCAAAGTCTTCAGACTTCCATCATTAAGACTTATGTTAGCTGTGGGTTTTTTTCATGGATGTCTTTTGTGAGATTGAAGAGCACCATTTTTTTGGTCTGTCCGTTTTTGTGTAGATGTATTTGACCCATTTTACCCATTTTAGAATTTCTAATGCTTCTTGATATATATCACAGCACTAATATAAAAACAATTTATAATAATTTGCTGCCAACAAGAAGGTATTTTGTTAGCATACCAAACTGTATCTGTCCTGAAACTAGGCTTTCATTTTTTAATATTTCTAAAATTTCTAGTAACATCAATTACTTTTTTACCTAATCCACTTGTCATTTGGGTAGATACAACATGCCCAGGTAACAATTCCCTTCCACTTAACAATATGTTTCTTTTCAAAAGTTAGTAGACATGGGTTTTTTTCATTGAGTAATATCTCTGTCTCTACCAAAACAAGTGACATCATTGAACACTCAATATGATTAATTCATTCTGATGTAAGCATGTATTCCTAGGTACCACCGTAACCTTGTGCTGATGTATAGTAATGTGAGAAATGATCCCTCCTATCTCACAGGAGAATGGATAAACAGGCCTGTCTGAAATCATGTTCCTCTTGTGTCAAAGGACAGATCATCAAACTGCTCTTACATCATTGGTATTTTAAAAAATAATTTTTCTTATCTTTATATATCATCTAAGTATTTATTGTATATATATATATTTTAAAATAGGCATATGACAGCATGAAAGGCCTTTGAATGATTTATAGTTCCTAATGTCTCTTTTACTCTCTTTCCATTCATTTCCTTATATGGAAAAAATAATCCCAACGCAATTGGGCAGCACTCACTGGCTTCATGATCTCATATCCTGACAGGTTTGATACCACTTAACCTATTTATGTAGAGGAAGCAGAACTTTCACATTTATTTCTAAATCCAGGCTACTTTAGAGGAGACTTTACCCATGGCCTAGCATTCTCAGCAGTTACTAAAACCTCAGTGTTTCTTGTTGAAAGGGTTCATATTAGTTGCTATGGCTAAATGAGCTCTTCATAAGACCTCAAAATTAAAGGAGTGGTTGGTCATACAATATATGATGTATTTTGAGATCTTCATAAAGGTTTGTTTGTATGCTGCTGTATCTAAGTCAGGATTGCAGATAAGTGCCCCAGATATATACATACATATATATATACATATATATATATATATAGCATCTCTTACTCTTAGGTGACTTCACATTACTGATGAGATTGTTATACTTTTTCCCTCTTGGCATGTAGACGTTCATGTACTATGTGGCACTGGTGGATTTAAAGGACTTCGTGAGGGAAATATATCACTTAAAGCTAATCATCTCTGATGAAAGATAATTTAACTGCTTGAGTGATATTTAGAGATTAAAAAGGAAAATGGGAAAATTGGTTGGGAGATGATTTATTTCTTACTTTCAAATATATGTTGTTACAATTTACACTCAGCCCTTGTCCATGAGAGCATTAACACAGACCACTGAATATCAGTTAATCTTACTTTTTTGGTTTGAAACTATGTCCCTGTCATTCACATGGGACTAAGCAGGGCTGTGATCATTCTTGAAAAGCTTGTCTTTGAAGGCATTATGTGTGCATGAATGTGTATGCATGCACATGTATGTGTGCATACACACACATGTCTAAGTAACCTTCTCACTCTTCTTATCCCCTGGCCCAAAGCAAGACCCCTAGATAATAAGAACCATGACTGTTTCACTGGTTCCTCAGAGCCTTTTAAAGAGAACATAACACAGAAAAATGCTGGAAGGAAGACAGGACGTTCACAGTGTTCCCATCATCCTACCAAGGTTTGCCTTTACATATGATTTCAGTTATGCAGCCACACTCTACTGTTAACGTTCATAGACCATCTGTACTTTGGTGTCTGCATGGTTCCCTCCCTTAGATTATTCAGGTCTCTAAATATCACCTTATCAGGGAAGTAGCACCCCAACCCCATCTCTTTCTGTCCCCTCACCCTGTCTTATTTGCCTTCATAGCATTTACCCACCACTGTCATTGCGTGTGTGCGTATGTATATATGTATGTAGTTATTGATTGATTAACTATCTCACCCCACTAGAAAGTAAGATTTTATGTATTCAGGATACATCCCCAGCACTTAGAACAGTGCACGCCATGTCAGAGGCACTTAATAAATACCTGTGAATGAATGAATGGGCAAATGAATAAACAAATGTAAGCCAGAGAAGAATTTCCATACCTGTGAACCTGAGTTACCCAAAAGCCTTACAGTTAGAATGGGCTATCCCCAGACCCAGTGAGTGGCACATTAAGCACTGTCTATAGGGGAAATAACTGATATGTCTTGATGTTTTTCCATGGCATATAGATACTGTTGTGATTAATAAAATTCATTTAAACACATTATTGAAGGCTTTGATCATTACATATTTTCTTAGTCAGTGACTACCAGAAATACAGTTCTCATGTGGGTGTCCTTAAAACACCTCCACTAGGCCCCACCTCACAACACTGCCACAATTGAGGACCAGTCCTTACCATGAGTTTTGCTGGGGACAAGCTATATTCAAACCACAGCAGGGACTACCCAAACTTGAATAGTGTTTACTTACTCACCAAATATTTACTAAGCATTTAATGTAAAACATTATGGGAGCTATAATAATGACCAAAATAATGTTTAAAGGGTAAAAGTTATTAATTAATATAATTAACGATAGTAGCACTTCCAAATAGAAATATGTATTATTAGAGAATTATATTCAAAATGTTTCCAGAGTTGAAGTTATACATTTCAATGAACATACATTTGTTAAAAATTAAAATTCTCCAAGCATATGCATTTATCATATGTTGTTATAATCGACTTAAAAATAAATACTGGATATAGATACAAACATCTTACATTTATACAGGCCTTGCCTTTTACCAGATACTTTCATGTACATTATCATAGCCAAACTCCCAAATTTCTCTTATCCAAAGTTAGTTTACAACATCATATTTTAAGGTATGACAATCTTACCTGACTTTCTCATTAAAATTTTGACTCTTTAATATCACCATATAATTATGTTTACATGAAGAATTGGAAAGAAGGCATAGAGTCTCCATATGTTCATTTCAGCTTGGTTGGCTAAATGGCTTATAACAGTCAATGCATGAAAATGGCCTAGATTGAAAAAATTAGCAAAATCACAAAAGGAAACCACTGTAGGAAATAGTTTTACACATATAATTACTAAAACCCTCTAGTGAATGTGTCAATCTGTACTAACTAAATAAATTTGTTTATAGACATGTTCTGTATTAGCTTCCACTCTTTCACAGCCCTTTGCCAAACAAAATCCCACTAGAAGTAGGATGTTCACACCCGAGTAGGAGTTTCTTAGATAAATATTTTTACTATATGGAGACCAAAACCACTTTTACAAATTTTAGACTTTGATTGAAATACTATATTTCTTTAGCTTTTTTTCTCCCATCTTTTCTCCTGGCAGCTAGTTGTGCATTAGCTTACCTCCTCTCACCTCCCACTGCTCTGATGAACAAGAGGCTGGCTGCATGCAAAGAGGCCAGTTGGGTCCCGAGAGTGGGCGGGACCAGCCTACCCAATCCATGCCACCAACAAATGGACTGGTGAGACACAGTAAGGGTCCATTTGCAAAGTAGCATTCTTTCTTTTCTCCTGAAACCTGGTTGAAATGATTCATTGAATTAATTAAAGTGTAGAGATTATACATCTTGAGGATATATTTTATAGAATACCTATTTACATTTCATTTGAGTACTACATGAATAGAATACATAAAGGTAGAATTCATTTAGCCAGTCCTCAAGAAATCATGGTAAGAGTTATAGAAATATAATAGCCACATCCTTTCATAAGGATGACTCTGATCACAACTTTAGTCAACCAGTTTGGAACAAGAATTTCAACTGACTTCTTAATTCTCTAGTCTAAAATTGGGTCTGAATTTTTCATAGGCCTTCTGATGATCTATTTTGTTAATTTGGTGTTGACATTTAAAATCTTTTACAAGTATTTTTAATTGTAATAACTTTTGTTAAAAGTGGAACTAAGAACATTTCTTTTTGATGTGCTAAACCTAAACCTTTTCACTATTTTTGAGAGACAGTATGACTGATCAGAAAGCAACTGACTTGGACAACAGTGTGATAAAGATGATTTGGCCAGTGCAGGGTCCTTTTCACTATGACCCCAAAAGCCCACTTTTTAGAATGAGTAAGAGCAATACCCAATAAAATGAGCACTCAGCCTACTACATAAATAATATATCTGATTTGGGAAGGTTCCATACCTCAGGAGATTTAGCATTTAAAATGGTAACTTGGTTCAAATTAATCTTTCGCACCAGAATAGACACTTTGGTTATTTATGATATTTTGGAGATAAATTTTCAGAATGGCTAAGGCATATTATTATAAATGGCAAATTCCATTAACACAACTCTGCTACAGAAATATAAGTGTATAATATGTACAAGGTAATGGAGTATGTGCGTAGTGCCTCAAGAACACCAAACTCTACAGAAAAAGATGCAAAGGCATGAAGAGTTATGCCCTCCATTGTCAGTCCACAACAGTTCTGTTTGGAAATAAATGCCAACAGAGTGTTCTAATTTAATATAAATAGTTTATATCAGGCCCTAAAGCAGTGATACAAAAGAATTGGATGAATGCTTATGTAACATGAGTATTTCTTACCTGAATATTAATAAACCCTTCAGTGATAGATAGTCTGGGCTGGTATCTTGGATTTAATATTTATTGACTAGCCTATTATCATTTGGGAACAAGAGAAGTCAAAATGTCTCTCCTCTTGGTCATGCCTAGAGTACTTTTCTATCCTCCTGTTCATTCCCTTCCCATTCCCAACTCAGGTCTCTGCTGTGTTACTTCAAGAAGCCTCCTTGATCACCATCTACCTCTACTGCCCTCTTACATGGCCCATTACACACTATTCTCATTTGTAGCTCCCGTCACTTTTGTCATTTCTCATTCAATATGTATCTTTCCCATCAGTCTGTTCACCAGAGGACAAGAACCGCATTCTGTGATCCTGCTGCATCCACTGCACCTTGTACTTTGTATTTGTGGAATGAATAAATAAACGAACGACAGTAGGTTCATTCAGAAGTATACCTTCTCTATCACTTGTTGGCCTTTTAGCTAAGATCACGTATAGAAATACACCTTCTCAGGTGGCTACCAAATGTGATTGATCTTATTATCAACTATCTCCTGATTGTTCCCATGTCATAATTTTTGCTATTCTTTGTCTTTAAAGAATTCTTAAGATCTATAATTATAATTTATTTACTGTCCAAATTGGTGTCAGTCATTGGCAAATAGCTATTGCTATCCATGTTTTATTCCTTGTGTTGTGTTTTTTTTAATGTGTCAAAGGCCATTGAAGCAGTATTTTCTTTTTATTTTTATCTTGTATCGGTATTATCTAAGACCTCGAAAACACAATTGAGTAACATGACCACAAAACCAAGATTCAAAAAAGAAAATTATATTATCTACTATAAATTTACTGTTAATCATAATTTTCAGTAACAGTATTAGAACCTAAAATGTTTAGACTCAACAAAATAATTTGACAGTCTTGCTTTAGATGACTTGGATAATCTTTTTCTGACAAACAATGCATGCAGTTGGCTTGATTCCTAAGTTTCCTCTCCTGTCTGGTAATCAATAAGGAGAAGCCCAGAACAGCTCCAGAGAGAACTGAGACCTAGTATCAGAATAACTGTTTGCTTTGCAACTTTGCTAATCATTGGGTTATCAAGGTCACTAGTTTATTTTTCTTAACTGCTGTTGATGGTTATCTTGCGAAATGGTAGGTGTGTGGTCTAAACCCAATTTTTAGGAACTAAGACTATCCTAGCCCCTACTCTCATGGTGAACACGTTACCATTTTTCATTATTGTCCAGAGGAAACTAAGCTACCCACAGTCAAATTCATTAATTAATTAGATGATTATTTGTTAAGCATCTAACTTATTTGCTGAGCATTTTATTAAGCATCTAACTTACTTGATGAGCATTTGGTTGAACCCTGGACATATACAGATAAACAGAACAGCAAGGCAACAGGTCAAACAAGTAAAATGAGAATTAGCTGTTGTTAGAGCTGACACCCCTTCACAAATTATTATTTGGGTTACTAACTTCCCAATTTGGCACTTTTTACATATATACTTATTATATGTGTTTACAGCTTGGAATAATTTCAGACATCTGTGTTTTGATTGTTTATAATACAAAGAGGTTGAATAAAAGTTTAATATTATTGGCATTAAATTATTATTAATAATAGATGTACTTAAGTATACACATTATCATGGAAAGAACAATTTATACAGTCTCTTATAAAATTTCTAAAGATAACATTTATGAAAAACTCTTTTTCCTAAAATATAATGTTGGTATCAGCCACTTAATTATTTCACTTAGTAACAATAAAAAATCTTAACACATCTTTCATATATTTTGAAATGATTTGGGCAATTAGAAATAGTAATTTTTAATAACTAAATTTGAGAGGTTTTTGTATTCAGAATGTCAAAACAACTTGATAACATCCCAAGAATTTATAAAAGCCCAATGTTAGCATTTTTTAATAAAATAAGAAGAATCTTAACAGAGCTAGAGAAAATCATAAATAAAATGACAGTTCCTCAAGATTTAAAGGGTCTAGTTTACTTGCAATAGAGTAAGAGAGTTAATACTGTATCTTTTTTTCTCATTTTGCCAGCCAGAGAAGACCTCATATTTAAAGGGGCAGGCCTCCCTCCACTGCTCTTAAATCAAGGCTCTGCTGTCTGACAAACTGCCCTTCAGGAGTTTCACAAGATATTTATAACATGGGGGAAGTATACAAATAGGAAAATGTTTAATGAAGAGTTTTGCATGTTACAATGCTATACATCATATGGTTCAATTTAGATTCTCTGAAATATCGGAGTTAAAGTGAAATTATCAAAAGGGGAAAAGTCACATGGCAGTGGTGCAAACAAGATGTGCCTATTTGTATTTATGTTTGCTAATGAAATTCAGCCACGATTCCCACTTTGATTTTAAGAGTCTTAGACCACCATTCAGCTTTATTCATTATAATTAAATCTCTTGCCCACACGCAGACACAAGGGCAACAAAGAAAAGGGCACATTTTATCTTTTAAAAAGCTCTTGCATAGCTTTGATATGAAGCTCCAGAGCTTCAAAGATTTATAGTATTAAAACAAAACAATATGTCGTTCAGGGCACAGTCATCTCCTTAGGCAAATGGAGGGACCAGTGGAGGGCTTGGACTGTGAATCTAATGACCCCACAGAAGGCAGGGCTGAATTCAGGCATATGGGGGCAGTAGAACTTGAGACAACTTGGGGTAGTCTCCAATTCTACCAGAAGAGAGGTAGAAAAAGCCAGCTACAAGCACAATGAAATTATGAAGCTTGGAAGTGGGGTGGGCCAAAGGCCGGGGGCTAATTTAGTTGACTTGTGAAATAGCATTTATATGTGAAATTCAGAAATGTACCTACCTTCCCAGGCCCAGCTCAACTGAGTATTCCAATTCCAGTAAACCAGGCATTTGAGTTAACTTGATAAGTAATGGCTGGTGAAAGCTGTTGCTTTGGGTTTACTCCACTGCCTTCCTACCTTTTCCTCCAGCAAAGACTCACCAGTGGCTGTAGAACCTCTGCCCTCGGTGCCCTCTTCATCCCTGTGGAGCAGAGAAGAGCATTTAGGGAACCCCCAGGCTCTTGGTAACCAGGGAAGTTCTTGTGGTCCACAAATCATCCAAAATGCTGAGAATCTGCCCCACACTAAATTAGGGGTTAATGGTAGTTTGGGAGAGGGGTGAATGAATGTTCCACATCTTTTTATTGTCCCTTTTACTACTGGACTTAGCCCAAATTGGCCAACTCCAAACACATCCAGGCAGGCCACATTATTTGTTCAACCCTCAATCAGACACTGACCACAGCCTTAGTAAGACTAACAAAAACACATGGTGTGTGTCACCCCCTTGAAGGGCCTAAACATGCATACATTTGCTACAGAATTTCTCAGCCAGGATTATCTTAATTATTTTGATATTTTGTCCATTTATCAAAATTATTATTTTGGGCACTCAGGGAAATTAAACGATTCTCTGAGGGAGAGCTAGTCATATAGCAGAAGAGCCAGAAGTAAAGCCAAAAGCTCATAATGGCCTGACTTCTAACTACTCAGCTGTACTGTTTTGGACATCATTAAGTCATCCCTACCTCTACTACCACCAGTCCCCTCGCTGTTGTTCTGCTCCCAAGGGCTCTTAATCTGGAAAAACAATTTCTTTCCCTACATCTGTTTTCCCCATTAAAGCCAGAGAAGCTAAACACATAGCTTTGGACAAAATCAGAACCATCATAAAGAGCCCTAGACTGAGTCGGGAATCCTTGGCTCTCCCCACATAACCATGGATTGGTCACTCTCCCTGGACATTAGTTTTTTTCATCTGTTAAATTAAGAATTGGGCTAGAGGAATTTAAAAAGATATTTTCCAATTCCAAAGTTTTATTGTTCCCTGATTTTAGATAGTAGCAAAGGGTTTGTTCAGCTTGGTTTAGCAGGCTTAGTCTCCAAGTTCCTCTTTCATTGTGGTGTTAAACATGTTGTGGCAGTCAAACAGGCCTTGCTTTTTAACCGTGGCAGCTCAGCATGTGGGAAGAAAAAAACAATGCCTAGTCTACAGATGGCTTGAAAGTGAGAAATGCTAGAGGTACAGGTAACCTGTGTGCTGTCTGGGTAAAAGCCATAGTCTGAAAATGTCAATTTTGGTATCTTCCATGTTAAATGCATTGAGTGCCAACATTAGGATTTCCATTAAGAAATATTGTTTCCTGCATAATCATGACAGATTCTGAAAGTGGTCCATTTGTTGACAAAACCATTACTGGGTCCTATTAATGGTGTATTCATCCATTCTACCACCATTCTCAGCCTTCACTATGCATCTGAATCACCTGGGATATTTCTAAAACGTTCCAAAGGCTAAGCTTCACTCAGACCAATTGACTTTGAAGAACTGGAGCCACAGTGTCTATTTTTAAAGCTCCCTCAGATGATTTGGATGCACAGTGTTCTATAGCATACACTAGTCTTAAAGTTAGTTTGGAAAATAAGCACGAGTTGAGAAAGCCTCCAAACTGAAGATGGTTTACATTCAAGGTCCATCTCTGTATTCTGTATCCCCATAATATTGTGAAATAAAAAATACTATTGTGTATATATAATCAATAAAGTGTTAACTATAGATACAAACCATCCCTACCCCCCAGTTTAAATTTATATTTCATTCTCTGTATTACCTTTACTGATTCTTTCCTGCTTTCTCAAACTCTAAATAAAATAGCATAAGAATTCCATTGTAGTAGGTCCCAAATTCCCTTACAAATACTTCATTTCTCAAAGGCCTACGAATGAGGATCTTGGTTCTATTGTCTGAATTCCTACAAATTTGCTTAATTTGATTTTTAGCAAGTCTTTATTGAGTTCTTACTCCGTGAACCACTGTGTGCTTGGTGGTACAAAGGCCACAAGGATGAGTGAGACAGTGCCTGCTTTCACCAGGCTTCTGATTTAACGTTAACATTTTAATTACCACAAGTAAAATGCACTGAGAGGTCATTCTCAAGAGAGGAAAGGAGAGAGAAAACAAAGCAGCCTTTTTGTTTGTTTTTAATCACAGTGTTTAATTTCAACTAACATTTTAGAAAGGCAATGAGATTTGTATATTTCTCAAAGTAGGGAGGGCAAAGATTTAAAAGTGCTGAGATACATGGTTTTATGGTTTGTGAAATACTTTCATGTCTGTATCTAATTTGAGCCTTACCACAACTAGTAAAAAATGGTCTCATTCTCCTTTTAAAGTGACAGGACTAGTGAGTGGTAGATTTAGGATTTAAAACCCAGGGCCCATATTCTTTTCATTATACTACATTGTCTTACATCAAACAAAATAAAGCCAACCCCCCCCCCAATCTGGCATAATATATTCCACCCAGATTATTATAGACACATATATTCTCCAAGTACTAACAAACTCAGTTCTTGCTAAACATCACTTAAAGGGTGAATTAAAATTTTACTTCAAAATTAAACTAGATCAGCCTGGTACAATACTTCAGAGTATACTTCTTATTTTTTAGCATACACACTTATGAATTAATTTCGCTACTAATGCCCACTACAGTAAGTAGAATTTGCATCTCCATATCTAGGTAGATTGACATTCTGATATAGGTCAAAATTTGAAGCTGAATGAATGAATGAATGTCAAAAATTGGGTATGGTAGCTCATGCCTGTAATTCTAGCAGTTTGGGAAGCTGAGGCAGAATTGTTTGAGGCCAGAAGTTCGAGGACCAGCCTGAAAAACAGAGTGAGACCTCATCTCTACAAACAAATAGAAAAATTAGCCAGGCATGATGGCATATGCCTGTAGTCCCAGCTACTTGCAAGCCTCCAGCAAGAGGATCTCTTAAGCCCAGGAGTTTGAGCTTAGGGAGCTATGATGACAACACTGCACTCCAGCCTGGGCAACAGAGACCCTATCTCCAAAAATAAAAAAAGGGCTCCTCCATTTAAAAACACAAAACAACGTCCCACCTCCCCCCGCAAAATAGGAACTACAATTGGTCTTTAAAAACATTAAGTCTTTGCTGCTAACTTTGAGAGATGCTACACTATCTGAGCTTTTCAGCAAATTCACAAAGGAACAACTAGCAGCTAAGAGCAGAACTTTATTAAATCAGAAATAAAGCTTAAGTGGTATATAGGCATGTAGGAGCCAGTTTGTTGGGGAGGTCTATTAGTGTTAATAATTAATAATTTTTGATAGTGGGTGGAGGTCCCAGCTGTTTCTGATCCAAGTCTACATTTGACTGACTAGGAGTATCTGTGAAGACACGGAAGTGGGAATCATTCATAGGGTCTGACAGAAGAGAGTGAGTGGGAGACAAAGTGTTTCTTGATAATGTGGCCTCTGGACAGCCCTCACAGCAAGTGATGTTTAAATTTAGTTTCAACATTTGCAACACAAGTAGAGAGAGATTCTCAGTTGACACAAAAATGAGTTGTCTTCATCCATCTTCCTGTAAAGTTGCTTACTCTGAAAAGGATGCTGAATCTGGGATGTTCCCGTAATTGCCTTACGTAGACAACATACAGCCTTTGTACATCAAAAGGAAAAAGCTGTGACTCAGGATGGAAGACCCTGGGGGATTGGTTTGCTGAGCTTGCTCTTTACTAATTACACATGCTTGTTTGTTCCTTCTTTATTTTAGAATTAGAATAGAAAGAACTCATTACAGAAATCTGGGTCAGCTCTAAACTTTGGTTTTCTTGAAGATCTATGTTATTAAATAAGCCTGTAATCTTTTAATTGTAAAAAACAGTGATAAAGCATCTGTAAAGGTGAATTGATCTTTGAAAAGTGGCTTTTCAGTACTAATGAGAACTATTTCATATAGCCCATCCTGGAAAGGTAAACTGATTATTTCTCAGGTGGGCTCAGCCAAGACTCAGTCTCCCTCTGAGCCAAAACCTGCTTTCTCAAGCAAGCAAGGCTCATTTGAACCATTTACCTTTAGGAGGAATGCAGCTTTACTCCCAGGTCCACTTATCTCCATGCAAAACCATGCCTGGGCTTTAACTGTTACCTTAAAAGTTATTGCTGTGGTTGTAAAACTGAAAATATCATGGTCAAGAAGCTGAGAGTATTATTTTGGCGTAAGCCTCTCTGAGGCATCCGTGATGGTAGGGGCTGTTTCAGGGCCTGAGGAGCCCCTGCCTGTGGCTGTGGGAAGACGCCCTTTCCTCAAGGTATTTGTGGCTCTCTAAGGAACCCATTTAATGCTGTTCGGTGCAGGACCTTAGGAGGTACGGTAGGAACTTTCTAGTCCTTGATAGAAAGTTTGCTTCCATCCAGAAGTGTTTTACAGCACAGAAAGTCCCATGGTAAAGAAGAGCTCACAGAGAAAGCGCTGAGGAATGCAACTTGGAATGTGCCACTGTTTTCTCATCCTTGTTACACTGAGACAGAGTGACCTGTGTAGCACCGTAACCAACTGATAAAAGTTCAGCCAGAGCTCCCAAGCCTGGCAACCACAGTAAATCCTCTGTAAGCAAGAGAGACGGTTTTCAAGTTAATTACATTTTATAATTAACAGAAGGTTATCCAGGAAACCATATTTGCTTCACCTCATGTTGATGGAAGTCTTTCTAAAAAGGTTGGGTGTACTTTCTGTTTTTAGTATAATTATAAATGTAGTTTAATCATTTTTTATAATTAAGACTCTTCACCACCTCCATAGCATTATCTTGATGATAAAATGTTATTCTGTATTTCCTATAGTATGACCATTCAAAGTAGATTTATTGGACTGAAAGTATACAGACTCCAGAACAGCTCCAAAGTTATTCGCTTAAGGGGGGCAAAAATCCCTAATATGAGATTTTATCATTTTCTTCACTTTTCTGAAAACAGATTATAGAAAAATTCCATCTAATTGAGGGTTATGAATTCTCTGAATGTGACTTACTAGTTTAAATAATGAAAAATATACCAGTGAAAGGGTGAAAGGGGAATTTTATTCCTAAGTCCTGAATTTTAGTTCTGCTCCACACTGGGTCTTAAAATGAGATTCAGGGCAAGTTACAGAGGCTCCGTGTCATCCAGG